TTGACGTAGAGCGTAGGCGATAAATGTATAAGAGTGACATATCCAGGCTCAAAAAGCTATGCTAGCGGCACAAAGGCCGGTACTGTAATGAACAATACGTCACGATTCGAAAGATCCGAAAATGATGAAAATGAGAGGTTTTATTTTCCTTTATTTCATTTGCAAAAGATACTTTGTCCGCGACATTTACTGCACCCAGCGCCTTGTAAGGTTTGACAGCACAAAGTCCGATAAAAAAAAATTTTTTTGAGACAAAAAATATTTAAACTCACTGAGTGTGGGCAAACAGTCAACTTATTCCTCCCATGTTTTAACAAAAATCACTGTCTGTGCACGAGTTTAACAAAAATAAAGCAAAAAATGATAACAAATGTGCGAGAATTTCTGGAACGAATCACTGCCGTTGATTGCCCTCCTCGTTTCGGACGTGAACAGTTCGGCTTATAGTTTGAGAGCGATCGATGAAATTCTTCGGCACCACAAAAATTTTTCTTTAAAATTATCGGATTCTGAAACCCAACAAAATACACTCTTGATGACTTCTTTTATGAATCATTTCATTTCAAACTTAATCATTTCAAACTACGGGATTTATAAGTCGTCAAAAACTGCATCATGAAAAGCAAAAAGAGATGCTTGTTAGTGTGTTTAATGCAAATGCGGAAGTGAAAAGCGATGATGGAATAAGAGATGAAAAAGGCATTGGAAAATCTATATTTTTGGAAGGAATGCGTCCTCCCCATTAAAAATTGTGTTGGTGAGCCATGAAAAATTACCAATTCATTTACTGGCAAACAAGTGAACTTTTCCAACTTTTAAACGATGTAATAATTAGAACGATGCATTATTTAGATCAGATTTAATAGTTCTGAATAATGTGCAGGAACGCAATCTGTGTTTCATCCCTCAGCTGTAAATACTGAACAAAGCAAAGCAGGCAACTTACTTTGATATGTTTTACCCAGCTAATTTCGCAGCTACAAAACAAAGTATTGTCCCGAAATCTCGTTCGCCATGCCTGACTCAGTAGCGCTTCCGTTTCAAGATGCCTGATGTGGTTGTGCTCGATGATAATTTCGCCGATGTTTAGGATACCAGAGAATGCATGGCCGGAGATATTGCTGATCCGATTACCAGCCAAAATCAAACAACCGATGGTGTAAAGGCCATTAAACGCTCCAACGCCAATCGTTTCTATGGTGCTTGAAGTGATGTGAATCTGTAAAACATACATACTTATAAGTCCCAAAATACGCCTGTTTAACTTGCTAACTTTAACTCTGTGGGACTCAAATACAATATTTTAAAACTTAAAACTGAATGAAAGATTTTAGAACCCAGAACAGCCAGATATTCAAATTCCGGATTAATTATGTATACAAAATTAGTTGCAATTAAGTTGACAGTGTCCTCAGAAGGCAAAACGGACGTCAGGAATGCCAGCACGCTGACCGCCAGCAGCAGCATTTAATCCAAGCAATTGAAAAATTTGCGAACTGCATAGCGGGAGGAAAACGCCTTGAATAGCAGCTGATCAAATCGAAGCACAAGAACTAACTTCTCGAGCATGTGATATATCAGCGAAAGTACCATCCAAGATCGAAAAATTTGAGCGACCGATTTCAAGCCTGTAATACATTCTACTGAAAAATAGACTTGTCGACCAAAAAATCAAACTAAGTTTCCGAATCAAGCTAAAGCCTTTCTTTTTCCTTCTCTTTTCACCTCACTCTTACTCTTTTCTAATCCCACAGTCATTCATTTTTCTTCTGTCTTTCTTGTTTCTTTTTTCCTTTTCTACTAATCACTCCGACAGTCATATTGGCAAGGTCCAATTGTGGTGCTGAGTTAAGGCCCACATGATTTAATGGACTAGAACGTCATATCTCACTCTTAACTTCTTCTCTGACACTGTTCTATTGTGCTATAATCTGTCGCGCCCTTGCCATTTAGGCTTCCAGGATCAACATGGTTGCTACAGTTGGCTTGGAAATTGAACGGATTAAGACGGTAAGCTGTCAGATAAATCAAAGGATCGGCAGATGCCTGTTTTCATAAAGCAGTACTGTCTTCTGACTCGCAATACTTTAGCAAACTAATTTAATGAATTGGAAAATCTTCCAATTAGTAAGGTATCTCATCGTGATCCAGACGGAGTAACATTCGAGATGAGGCGGTAATGCCCAACAAACACAAACGACATACGGAAACAGTTTAAACTTCATCAAATATTTCTGTCACGAGAACTACTAAGCTGATAATCCCTTCAGAAGATGGAGATAAGCTAACTAATAAGAAGTGCCGCACTGGTCAAAGCATCTAGAAAAGTTACGAATTGCATTAGTGGCGAGAACGAGC